GACTCGCTGACCGGGCAGCGAGACCCCCGTCCTTTCTGTTTGTAGCGGGTCCGATTCAAGGCATTCAACAATTTTAACTAGTTTAAAGATGTGACGGTAAACCAAAAAGCTTAATCTGTGCTTTGACAGAACTATTTGTTTGACAAACATGGATCACTAAGGTCCGAAGGGGTGAAACGGCACCTACAGGCTTCAATTGAATTTTTTGTGTATACATGTATATAGATGTAAGAAATATTATAAATACGTTAGGTACTACCCGCTCTAACAAATAATTCGAAGGCGCCACCGGCAGAGGTTAAAAGTTCCTACCAACTGGTGGGAGTTCAAATATGACAGGCAACGTTATGTGGTTCTTTTGTCTTTCCTCTAGACTAGTTATTCTTCATTAGCTGTTGTTTGACTTCTCTTTTCCAATTGAGTCTAAACTTCATATTTCATATTTCTTTAAGACTCCATAAAAGGACTGAAGATCCTTTCTTCCTAAAAATTTAAAAGTTCATCTCTCCCGATCATGCTTGGGGCTTGATGCTCCATCACTTAATGGAACTAAACCACTGTGCTCTTTCATTCTGATTCATAAGTTGAGTCAATCTTCTGTTTTGCGTCACGTTATCATAATTATTATTATATAATTATTTTTTTGTTTGATTAATTTGTCTATATAAAGTGAAAACAGAACTTATCAAATCAAAGACTAAAGTTGATCAAAACCAACAAAATAATTGGTCAATTACGATGTTTTGGATAGAGTAGTATCGTCTTCTCAGAAGTGCCTAATTTGAATAGAATTTAACTAGTCAATAGTGTTTTTGATGGATCTTCCATAGAAGATTCCATACAATAAGCCAAATGTTGATGCTGCCGAACTACGTCTACATTCAAAGACGCTTAGCGACTAAAACCTGAATCTGTCTCTTCCGGGGCAACCAAACACTCTTTAAGCTCCCCATTTATGTATAGAAATATAAGTGTATAGGTGCATAGCAATTTTACTGAATTAGATTCTATGTTTCTATATAACAGTCGGTTCATTTGATTCTCAATGTCAACTTCAAAAAGTTAGGTGAGACTAACCGCTGTAATACTAATTCCAAGAGAAGAATATTCTAAAAATAAATGCACTATGACATAGAACGCACGCAATGTCCATATACCCTAAAACAGAAAAACAATCCAATTGAAGATGCTTACCGCTGGTGAATGCGCAAGTCAATCCGATAGTAAAGGCAAGAGAAACCGTGAACAATCCAAGAAGCAAGTAGTTAACCGGATGTTTCTGGTGATAGTAATACAACGGGCACAACGCTGCAACAACAATAACAACAACACAATCAATTAATTAATTAACACTGAAGAAGAAAAATACCCTGACTAGATCCACGATTAGAATCATTAACTTACTGATAAATGGAGTGATGATGAGTACAATATAAAGTGCTAAGCCTGCATTTGTGGCTGCAAAGAAGTGTGAAATTGGATGAACGGTGACGACGACAGAGGCGACCGCAATAGTCAGAAGCAACTGTATAGAAATAATCGAGTATACTTTTCGAATAAAAGACCACCGGAGTTCAGGACTTTCCAACATCGCCGGATACAAAGGCGCAGTGCCGAACTCCACGTCATCTTTCCGGTAAGCCTCGTTCCACATCTCTCAAATTATCGAAGAACTTGAACAAACTATTTCTCACACTGATTGTACGTTTGTAAGGTTTACTTGCGCGTGAGGAAATTTGGGAAGAAAGAAGTGCCTCTTTATATAATTTGCAATTTGCAATTGAAATTATGATCCGACCCGTATCCGTTTGAGACAGAGATAAGACGGTTAAGTGGAAAGTTCGTGATTCGTCGATCCACGCGTGTGAAGAAATATACATATTCTAGACTTCTCTCGACTCATTTTTGCTTACTTGTGAAGGCAAAAGCTAGAAAACGGTACGCATATGGACAAAGTAAGTTAATAATCATTTAAAATGGGCTAGAAAATCATTTCGCTAATTAAAAATATTATTCACTATTTTATTTTACTCCGTAGATATCAAAAAAGTTAATAGAGAATAACTTCAGTAAAAATATTGAAATTAGAAAGATAGAGAATGAAATTTCGAGAATAATAAACTAATTTAAAAATGGAAAAATTTTCATAAAATAGATAAAAGTTAAAAGATAATAGGCCTCGAGTTTATTTATTTACGAAGCGTAGCTATAGGTTTAATGGCTAAAACTGATTTTGCTTTGTATATTCTGCTTTACTAATTAATTATTAAAATAGGTTATTAAGCTGGTTTAATTAATTGAGTCAATCTCAATTATAAGTAAGGAAACGATCCTAAAGCTTACCACATATGATTTCTCCATCTTTCCTAATATCGATATTTCTACAGAATTTTGACAAAAAATCCATCGATTTCTTTGTGAATTATACAATAAGATAAACACAATAATTAATTATAATACGCCATTTGTATATCTCCGAATTAATTTTAACATTTGTATTTAAAATTTCTTTTGGTGAATCTTCGATGTACTATTTACCCTTTTATTTTATTTTCTTTTTAGAGATATTAAATATGTATGGATTGTGTTCTTATGTATACATAACGTAAATTTGATTGTATTCGTATGATTATGAATGCGTTAAAAGATTTTATATGAAATAGTGGTTTAATTTTATTCGTATTTCTATAGTTGGAATTTTATGAATACAAATTACTTTTTGAATATGATATGCAAGTTGGTCACTATTAACATCTGAATTATTTGTACACAAAAATGTATTTTGTATATAATGGATGCAAAAATACAAATGAATTTTGAACCCTTTCATTTACGTATATCATTTTGTATCTGTTTACCATCAAATTATATATATAAGATGAGTTTTATATAGTAACACGAGTGATTTGTATATCTTAATTGTATTTGTATTTGAATTAAATCAATTTGTATATGTTACTGAATAAACTGCATAGTAAATAATTTGTATATTAAAATTCATTTTTTAATCTACAGTGTTAGCAATTTTGGTGATGCATTCAGGAAAATAAAATAAAGAAAATTATTGTGTTGCAGTTGTATTTCTATAATTGTTCGGTTATAGTGTTAGTGTTTTTTTATACATATATGACTTAAAAATCGATAATATATATACAAATATGACATAATTTATACAATTGCAAAGCAAAAAAACTAACGAATTTAACTAAATATTTATACAACTGCTGGAAATGTATAACTATAGCTGAAAAATTGTATAAACAAGTTTTATACATCTGTGGCTTAGAAATGTCATACATACATCTATGACATAATGCAATTCAATTAACTGTTAATATACAAATAAATAAATTTTTTATATATATGAAAAAATTGAGGAAAATAAAAAGACTATATAAATACAATTAATTAAAAACTGATGAAATTCGAAAAAAAAAGAAGAAAGGATAATGCCTGATATCAAATTTGAACGATTAGGAGACAATTTTTTCAAAATTTGAATTTGATTCTGCTAAGAGATTTACAGAAGGGATTTATAGCGAGTTGAGAGAATTAAGGAGATAATTATGTGGGTATAGTGTTGTATGTAGGTTTGTATAAAATGAAATTTGGGATTCTACTCGACTTATACAAAAACGGTGGGACCCATAACCATTTTATGAAAACTCATTTTCTATAATTAATTAAAACTATAGTCATTATTATAAATTAAGTACTAAATGTTAGCTTAGTTATATAATTTTCCCTTTTAAAATTCCTACAACTTCAAAGAGTGATTCATAGAGTATTTTATAAATTTAAAAATTTGAAATGATTTTTATCTAAAAGTACATACGATAATAAAAGGTAAATTTTAATTGATAATGTGTGTTTAATTAAATGAGTGTTTGTCTAGCTGAATATAGATATCATATAACTTACTCCGTTATAAATTGAAGGGAAAATGTAAAAGTACCCCCTTAACCTATGTCTCGAATCTCAGAGGCACACTTATACTATACTAAGTTTCTATTACCCCTGAACTTATTTTATAAATAATTTTCTACCCTTTTTCGGCCTACGTGACACTAACTTGAAAAAAATATCAACACATGCTAAGTCCACAAGATAGTGCCATGCAGACCGAAAAAGGATAGAAAATTATCTATAAAATAAGTTCAGGGAGGTAATAGAACCTTAGTATAGTATAAGTGTGTCTCTGAGATTTCGTTCATAAGTTAGAGGGGCACTTATGCATTTTCCCTAAACTGAAATTCATAACTCTAATTGCTACGAAAATGTCGTTAAGGAAATTATTAAGAGTACAATGACATCCTATTAATATCTGAGATAATTGATGAGAAGCTTGCTATTAGACGTTGTTGTTGCCTTGAACCTTTAGTAAGTATAGGGGTGAATATGATAGGATATAGTAATTTTGGTATTCGATTTTTGTTATATTATATCATTATCATATCAATTTAATTTAATATGGTTCGGTATATTAAAGTTTAGTTTTAATATTCTACGGCATGAGAAGTTAATTCGTAATTTGTTTAACTTCGACTAATATATACTCGTATAATGGAGTATTATGACTTCAATAATTAAAAAAAAGTACTCAATTATATCATACTAACACATTATATTATATATATATATATATATATATATATATATATATATATATATATATATATATATATATA